AAAAAAAAAAAAAGAAAAAAAAAGGAAATCAGCTGTTGCCACCAGCTAATTAAACAACATGTGCACAAATCTCTTAAAACACAAAAATCCAATTTTGTTCTTAAAAAAGGTAAATTTTATTAATAAAAAAAAGAAAGAAAATACATCTGGAAGCTCAGGCTATCGTTAGATTAAAAGAGCAATTACACGGATTAAGCATCACAAATAGCTTTCTTGAGGTCCAGTTTAAAGGTTACAAGGAAAACAAAAGCATCTGGGGTTAGCACAGAGAAGTCCACAAGCCATACAGAAATAAAAAGAGATAAACCTAATCAAGTCTTCCAAGACATTGCCTGATCTACTTACATATCTGGGGTTTTAAATTAGTAGTTTCTAGGTATGATACTGAAGATTTTTCCCTACCTGGCCCAAGTTCTCACAGCATAGCTCTGTCCTGGCCGCCTCTCTCCCGGGGGAGAACAACAGACAGATAAAAGGGGAGTCTGTCTTTCAATTTTAAAAAGTTCTAGTTTTTTTTTTTTTTTTTTTTTTTAAAAAGGGAGATATCTCCTAGAACTGGAAGGGACCTTGAAAGGTCATTGAGTCCAACCCCCTGCCTTCACTAGCAGGACCAAGCACTGATTTTGCCCCAGGTCCCTAAGTAGCCCCCTCAAGGATTGGGCTCACAACTCTGGGTTTAGCAGGCCAATGCTCAAACCACTGAGCTATCCCTCCCCTTCCCATTGGCTCTTTTGGCCAGGTGCCCACTCACTTCCTTTTACCTATGCATAGCAGTGAGACTTTTTAACCGTTTACAGTAGTACAATTATAGAACAGCTACTAAGAGGGATTTTATAGCTGCTGGCTAGCTAGCTCTCTGTAAAAGGAAGCTAACCCCTCTTCATTTCTCAAAACCACCTCTCGCACCACAAACACACCCTATATAGAGCCTCCACACCCCAAACCATTGCACCCCAAACCTACCCCATACAGAGCCATCCAACCCCCCGCACACTGCACCCCAAACCCACCCCAGTCAGCCCACCTACCTCACTGCACCCCAAACATCACCACACAACCCCCACCCATTGCACTCCAAACCCAACCCATACACAGCCACCCCATCCCCACCCACTGCACTCCAAACCCACC